TTTTTGATCAAATAAATGCAGCTTTGTTGAGCATAAAACACTTTCAAAATAATTAAAATCTTGCCAACCCCAATCTATTGAAATGTATGGTATACAAATAAATGATACGAGCGTCTTTGAAGCTGCTGCCACCGATCTGGACGAGCTCACAGAGACCAATAAAGCTCATTCTGATTCTGATTCTGATTCTGATACATATGAATCAACACATCTACTAGATCTGCATGAACCACGAATAATGAATCATCGAGCAAATGATTCACTCAACCAGACATCAACATTCTTATTGAGAGAAACAGACAATACTCCAGGAAAGCATGTATGATAACAGCATTGGAATATTATATTGGTGGCACAGAAGAAAACATCACTACAGTATCCCACGATTCCTGGAGCTTAACTGTGAAAACCAGTTCAGTCCAAACACTCAAACCAGTCTATAGATGGCGCTCTTCATCACATGCACTGCAGAACATAGTGAACTCCTCTTTGTTAATTTACTCTGTGTGTTTGCTCACACTCATCCCTATTCATTTACAGTATTTAACTCTACAGTATTTAATTCTACAAGAACTACTATGGTGGTACCATGGAACAGTGGTGGTTTCACCATGGTACTTTGTTATTTCAATGCCAAATTATTACCATATACATGCACCATGGTATTTAAATGGTACTCTAAAGAATACTGTGAAACTGAAGTTGTTTCAAACAGTTTGTAAGGCATCGTGAAATGTATCTATTGCAAGGCAATCCCAGAATGCATTGCAACATGGTTTATGAAGTAAAACAAATCAAGGAGGTCAATCTAGAACCTGGCGTCTCTATCTGTTAGCATAGACAGATGTTCAGGAGCTCCACAATTACATCATTAAGCCTTAAAGGAACAGCAGCAAAAACAGCCTGTGTAATTACCAGAATCATGAAGAACCAAACAGACCTGGACCAGCCTCTATAAAGTCTGAATGAAATCCCTCAAATTGCTCCCGAACACCTCGTTTGCACCATCTCACGCTCTCAAACGCCAAATATTCACTTATGCAATGGTGTCCTTTCACGGGAGACAAGTTTCTGTTGCTGGACACAAAGATCTGACGAGACAGCTCCAATGAGAAGATACTCAACACTAAACACCAGATCTGAAGATCTCATCTGCTGTCCACCTTCAGAAGCAGACGCACAAACACCAGAGGTCACAAAACAGAGGAAAAGCACACAAGATGTTGGAAATAAACTCAAAACCACAAGAAACCTTTGCAAACACGCTATGTGCACGCACAGATGTTCTCTGAGACTACACATAATTGGTTGGGTTTCCAACAGAACTCATTTAAAAACAACAAATCATGGACTACTTCTATTTTATTGAGGCTTGATTCTGTTAATTTAGTGGTTTTGGTGAAGCTTAAATGCAGAAGGGTGATCTAAAGAAGCTCATCAGACCCTTGTGATCTTCATCGGTCTGATTAAAACAATCCATCCAGAGGAGATTCCTCAAAACTCCTCGTTACAGAACAATAGCAGCAATTAACTTGTGAATCTCCCGTCACACACACAGCGGAACATTTTATTAGGACCCAGAATATTTTTCTACGAGCGCTAATGAGACCACCGTGAACATGATGAGCGCCTTCAGCATCATAAGAGTTAATGAAACACGCGGCAGAGAATCAATCAGCAGCTCCTCCAGCAGAAGATCAACACTGCAGGCCTTCTGCTCCGCGAGCACATCAGATCTCCAAAAACTCCTGAAGCTTCAACCTCAGACATGGTACATGTCTGACAACTATGGTATTATGTCAAAAAGATATACGGTTTTACTGTATGGTACATATCCAAAACACATAGATCGACACATCCAGTGCCAAGTCCCAAAGAGTTAAAACCATGGTACATGTCTGAAAACTATGGTATTATGTGGAAGGAAAAAAAACACAGAAAGTACCATTACCAAAAATACATGTTATTACCACAAAAAAACATTTCAAAACCATGGTAAATGTCCAAAAACTCTGGCGTTATGTGAAAAATAAATGGTATTACCATTATAAACCACTGTAAAACTATGGTACATGTCCCAAAACTATGGTATTAGGCAAATACATGGTATTACCATGAAAATCATCGTAAAACTAAGGTGTACAATAACTATGGTATTTTGTGAAAAATACATGGTATTAAAATAAATAACCATTGTAAAACCATAGTACGTTTCCGAAAATACATGGTATTACCACTAAAAAACCATTGTAAAATCATGATATATATCCAAAATCTATGGTATTATGTGAAAAATGCATGGTCTTACCATGAAAAACTATTGTAAAACTATGGTAAATGTCCAAAAACACATGGTATGACCATGAAAAGCCACTGTAAAACCATGGTACATGTCCCAAAACTATGGTACTATGTGAAAGATACATGGTATTACCACAAATAACCATTGTAAACCATGGTACATATCCAAAAATACATGTAAAACTATAGAATTATAGGAAAAAACACTAAGTATTGTCATAAAAAAAGCCATTGTAAATTCACAGTACATGTCCAAAAACCAATGCTACTGCCATGGTACGAATAAAAAACATGGTAGCATGCCTATAAGCAAACCTGGTATTACCATAGTCCAGAAAGCACAGTACTGACAGATGAGAAAGTCTCTGATCAGCAGAACAGCCCTTCTGAATCTCAGGTAAGTGATGTGTAGCATGCCTCACCTGTGAGATCTCGTACAGTAGTTTATAATGCTCCTCTCTCTTCTGTAAACTACACAGATTGCAGCCCATCCTCGTGCTCAGGGATACGCTCCCTCCAGAACGGCTCGCACACACACAGCGCCTCTCATCCGTGTGTCAGCCTCCGGCGTGTGTGAGTGGGAGACCCGCTCGCTCTCTGTGGCTCTGAGACACCGACACGCCCCCTTCAGCAGCTCAGCCTATGAATAATGATGTAGGGGTGTGGCCACATCAGTGGGAGGAGACAGTGAGCATCAGTGCTGAAACAATGAGGCTCTTTTGTGTCAGTAACACTGATGCCACACACACACACACACACACACACACACACAGTCAGCGCTGGTCAGACTGCACATTAATGTGTGTTGTTGCAGAGATTTTAAATGGATTTTAGTCTTAAACCGTTATTACTGGTTGGGGAGACGCAGCTCACTGTGGAATTGATCAGAAGCTTTTCAACATAATATGCAAAAAGCAAAGTAGGTCACAAACCAACCAACCCATAAGGACTTCACACACACACACACACACACACACACACGCACGCACGCACGCACGCACGCACGCACACACACACACACACACAGACACACACGCACACACACGCACAACCATACATACATGAAATAATCTATGAAATATGAATATTATCCATGCACATTTTAGCCAAAAGCAGTATCAGATAACTTTCGTTTCATGGCTGATCATAAATCTATAGTATTTGTAAAACAGGGTTAAGCTGTACAAGCAAACTCACACATGATAATGTACAGGGTATTACCATGAAAAGAAACAAAAAAACATTGTAAAACCATTGTCCAAGACTATGGTATTGTTTGAAAAGAATACATGGTATTACCCTGAAACCCCATTGTAAACCATGGTAAATGTCCAAAAACTATGGTATTACCATGAAAAAAACCCCATTGTAAACCATGGTAAATGTCCAAATATACATGGCATTAGCATGTAAAACTATGGTATTATGTGAAAAAAATTGAATAGAACATGTTTAAATGGAAAAATAAGTCTATAATAAAAAAGACAAATATTTTTAAATCTGTGACACTGAAGGCAAGACGCTACAGGTAAATAATAGGGTATTAATTTGAACTACTCAGTATCACCATACTTCACCAGTTACGACAAATGTTTTGTATGGCAAGTTGTCTGAAATGTTACGTTTTAATAAGAAAATGATGCATTATCTAAATAAAAATACACAAATCTACGTACAATTCCAGGAAATACATTTGAATACCAGATGAAGCCAGGTTCAAAATTGTCTTTCATTTTGTTGACATATTAGAGTTAAAGGTTTTTCTGGAGGGATTTTGGATTTTTCTTTTTATCACTACATAAATCAGAAAATACTGTCAATAAAATACATTTTCACCATGTTTTTAGGAATAAAATGTTATATAAACCAGTGTGAACAATGTATGAATAAACCCTTCAGAATATGCATAGGAATAAAACGTTTTGGTGTACGTAAGTGCTGCTGAAGTGGAGGAAAAATCATTTAAAGATGTGTTTCGACATTGAAATCTACAGACACAAAAAGATAAAGTGTCATAAAATAAACACTTACATGTGTATTTTGGATGTTTTCTTTACACTAGCCTTCAGAATATGCATAGGAATAAAACTCTAAGTTTTGGTGTACGTAAGTGCTGCTGAAGTGGAGGAAAAATCATTTAAAGATCTGTTTCGACATTGAAATCTACAGACACAAAAAGATAAAGTGTCATAAAATAAACACTTACATGTGTATTTTGGATGTTTTCTTTACACTAGCCTGAAATAATACATGTTATGGAAGCAAAACAGACCAAAATCTCAAAATTGAGCAAACAATGGTTTTGCCGGTAGTGCTTTGCTTTAAAGAGACGTCCAAATGATGAGCTGAAGAACATCATCATGTCCATCACAGCAGGTGTGGTTGTGTGGCTTTCAGATACACGACACACTGAGAAGAGATTACAGAATTAACCAGCTCTAACTGTTCAGAAATTGGCCCTGATCTCACCATCACTCACACACACACACACACCCACACAACCTCTCTCACACACACACAGACACAGACACAGACACAGACACAGACAGACACAGCATTCATCAATATTCAAAAGAAGTTTATAGATGTAAACATTAATATTTTTAGCTGAGCAAGCACCAATATAGCCTAAGAAATGGAAAGAATGTAAAGTGCACAACATAATTTTTGAACACACACACACACACACACACACACACACACAATGTACTGCTATGGCGCGGGTATGCCTAATAGCTCACAGTGCTCAATGAATCAACCTCTGACTGAGTCTCACCAAGCGACACAAATTACCCACAAGCCCACTGAGACAGTCAGGGAATGTTTTCCAGTTTATCTGGTTTAATTAAACTGCTGTCCGTGTGCACGCTAACGTCTGGAGGAAACAGACCTGCATCTCCACGTTGAGCCCGAGGGGTTTGTGCTTCCTAATGGGCTGTTTGGGTGGGACGGTCAGCGCCTTCAGCATCTCACACATTCACTAACAGCTGCAGGAAACAGATAGTCAGACTATATGCAGGTTTAGTTTGATAACGGCCCTTCTGACCAATCCAGCTTAAGTTGGTCCTTATCTGGTTGACCAGCAGTAATGTTCCTAAAACCAGCCGGTTTGGAACAGCTATGCCATCATCACCCATAATTCTTGATACACACATTTCTAATGATCAACATGATCAAACTTTGCTGTTAAATCTGTTTCACACTCGATCTCCTCCATGTCTTCTGTCTCTGATTGATAGTTTAGAGTGTTTTATCCAGTCAAAGCTCTTTTAGTGTAACTGTAGCTGGAGCTTCTCGTGTCAAATCTTGACTGATTTTTATCAAGTAAGCGTCAGAATAACTGCAGTAATTTTTTATCCTATTCACCTGGGGTGTCTTGCCTAAAATAACATTAATAATGCAGTAATACAGTTTTTGACATTTAAATCTGCAGTAGGAACCACCATAACAGATCTTCCTCTGCAGAATAACTATTTACATTAACTTATACATTCATGCATTTAGAGGATGCTTTTATCCAAAGTAATCTATGATCCGGTCTGTTTCTGATGAGGAATGGCTCTCAGAAACGCTGTTATTTTCAGACATGGAAACTCAGAAAGTGAAAGCGCGTGACCGTGGGCTCCATGTCTCTGCTGATTGGTTTCAGCAGCAGGTGTGTTTCTTCTGACCTCCAGGGTGAAGCAATTTTACAAGGCTGTTTTGTAGCCCAGCCGACAGGATTGACTCATAAAACGCTGTATGTTCACGGACGCCGTTCCATAAAATCCTGACACCTACATTTGTTTCTCAAACGACGTGCTTAGAGCAGCGCTCACGGCCGGCGGGGGAAATGATCCGGCCGGACTTTGTTCTTGACACGACTAAGAAACTTTAAGATCTATGAGAGATGGTGAATTTCCTCAAATATGTCAAGATGAAATCACATCAGCATTCATCAGAAACTGTTTCTCCATTCATATGAGATGATATTGACTGTTTACATTTGACATTCATCAATCCATACTGATCAGAGTCAACATGAGACAACAAACACAGGCCATTATACTTCAGAAATGTGATGCATTTTAGAGAAACAGGATACTGAATGAGAAAAACTGTGAGCAGGACTTGAGGAATTAAGAAGATATTGAAAAGAAGTCGGTAGTTAAAAAATATTACATCAAAAATATTCTAACATCTCCGATGAGCTGCAGTGATGTCACTGCTTAACTAGTTAAAAAGGTAAAATGGGTTTGTATTGATTTCATGTTGACTTTTTAGATCAGCTACCATCAGGATGACATCTGGTTTTCAGACAGTCAAAGCAGGGATATTAGGGTTAACTGAAACTAAAACCATTTACCAAAACAACAACAACACTTCATTACCTGAAATAAAATAAAAGTAAAATAAATTAAAATATTAAATCAACCTAAAATATTTCATCTAGATGCCAAGGCAACATTTCTAATTTTCATTTAGTTTGATGTGAAGTACTAAAATAACTCAAATTAAAACTGAAAAATCATTAATAAAAACTATACATAGATATATTTAAAACACATACACACACACACACACACACACACTCACACACTCACACACTCAAAAATTACTTACAATTTACTATTTTTTTTTTTTTACTTAAATGTATTTATTTTTACTTAAACTACTTATTACTTAAATTTAAAAGAAAATGGAACATTTAAAAATGTAAAAATATTTTTTTTAAGCTGTAAATAAAACAAAGAATTTTAAAATACTGAAAAACAGTATTTCTGTTTTTCTACTTCAAATTTTCCACATGTAATTCAGTCTGTTTCTTGCCATTTTGTAATTATTTGTGATTTTTTTTTTGCAATTTCTGAGTGAAAATTGTTTCTACATCACTTTTTTTTCTTCTTCAGTGTAACAATGAAATCCGTTCTGGTCTGTCATTGTGTTCACTTCCAACTCTGACTGATGAAAAATTAAAGTGGCCTCTCGGTTTCACTCAGATCTTCCTCAAACTCGCGAGCTGTAGTTTGTGATTCCTCTGGAGGACAGATGTGATCTTTTATAAGAGCACCTCATCTATAATACAGCGTTACGTAATGTAACGTAATGTCACGTGTTGTTTGGGGCCTCGGCGTCACACACGCGTGTCGTCTGACCCTCCAAGTGTTTAATGCCACGCAGACAGAATATCTCAGAACACTTTAGGAAACTTCAGTTTGATTTACACACGTTCACAGAAAACACGAAAATCAACCCTGCGTCTGGACGCTTTCATCTTCTGGGAAAAGAGCGTCAGATATTGTGAGCGTTTCCTCACAAATGGCTTCTGTGGGATTGGTTGCTATGGAAACTCCTCTGTTTTATTATACGGATGTCAAAGGACACTTCCGAGACACAAGACTTTTACTGGAAAATCTGTCTGAAAGAAGAAACAGAAAATGAAGGGACAGGAAGTCAAAACACTCGAGAAATAGACAATAACAAAATCAATAGTACACTGATATTTGATGCTAATAAAAGATAGATGTGAGCAGGCTTTGACAATTAACTTTTTCACTCACCAACCAAATTTGGCTACTAAATTTTACAGTTACCGGCCAATCAGGACATCTATCAAAAATATAAAAAAAGAAATCATAGCTTAAATTTAAATATATATTTATTATGAAATCTGATTCTGAATCACAATCACGCCATAACATATAATGTCATGATGACAATATTACACCCCACAATAAAATTTCATTTTATAATTTCATTAAAGTAAATAATTTTTATTTGCATTTTTAATTTTACTTAATATTACTTTATACATGCATACTGTACCTCATTTGTTTTGTCAGTCTGTAAAGGTGTCCCTCAGGGGTCTGTTCTGGGACCAATTTATGTTCCTTGTATATAAATAATATTTGCGATAACATTCCCAATGTTCATGCAGACTACACTGCTATTTATTGTTGCGCATCATCAGCATCAAAAGCTCTACATTAGTTACAGTCAGTCTTTGATATTGTTCACTTCCGTTTATGTCAACTTAAGCTGGTTTTAAACACAAATAAAAATAAATTAAATTTTTTTTTTTTTTCAAATTCCAAAGCTTTACCAAGGAATCCTCCTGATATTATATCCTCCTTAATTTCTAAACGTAAGCTTAAATTGGGTTTTTACTACAGAAACAGATCTTTATTTTCCTTTAGTGCCAGGAAATATTTGGTATCTGCAACCTTTTTACCACTATTGGTCTATGGAGATGCCCCAGGACATAATCTAAAAAAACATAATACTGTTTTTTATATCGCTTTACTTTTTATCACATGTTGTAGCTATCAAAAACATCACTTTATATGATAAGGCAGAGTTACCATCTCTTTATACTCGAAAAAGTTTTAATTGGTACAGTTTTATTTATAAGTCTATTTGTGCTTTTAACTCCATTTTACTTGCCTCTCGGCTTTTCAAATACAAAAGAATGCTACAAACTTCGTTCAAATGATCCGGTGTATTTTAAAGTTCCTCGGGTTCAAATGGAGCAAGGAAAAAGGTTTTAGATATAATGCCATATAATACACACACACACACACACACACACACTCGCATACATAATATTCCAGGTAATATGTCAATTATTTATTGAAGCAATTAAAAGTCAATTGATTTTGCTAACAACGTTATCTTTATAACATACAATACTATATAAAATATAATAAGGTAGGAAACCTCCTGTTATATAAGATTGTTTGATATGAAAACTCTCTAACTGTGTTTAAATGACTGTAATGTATATCCTCTCATAGATCACTCCTTCATTAGGTTTGTTACTCCTTTATCTGTTCTGAATTCATTACAGCAGAAGTCAATCTGTTAGAGTTTTTTTTTTTGTCCTTTTTAACTTCTCTTTTGCAAAAAGGAATAATTTAATACACTACAATAAATGTGTATTATGGGAGAAAGGGTCTTTTTTACTTGACCTACAGCATTAACTACACGCACGCACACACACACATGCACGCCCGCGCGTGCACGCACACACACACACACACACACACTCACACACTCTCACACACACACACACACACACACTCACACACTCTCACACACACACACACACACACACTCACACACTCTCACACACACACACACACACACACTCACACACTCTCACACACACACACACACACACACTCTCTCTCTCTCTCTCTCTTCATATCTTCTCTGCACACAGATTGCACCATAAAGTGTCCGGTGAACAAGAGCGATCATAAACCCGTTCCTCCTTCCCGCCCGTTTCCATGTCAACCCTTTGGCCTGCTCTAGATTTAGTGCTGCTCATTTTGCCAGCTAATTGCGAGTGCAGAGCAGCCGGGGTCAGAGGTCACGCTCGCAGCAGCGGGGTCTCTGTGAAACGCAGCTAATCGCTCATAAAATGTGTCAACATCCAGATATAGCGCGCGGCGGCGATACGGAGGTCACCTCTGCAGCCAAACACGGGGCTGATGGGAAATCACACACGCAGCCTGTTTACGGCCCAATATCGCCCGGATCGCACTGAGAAACACTTTTGTCACAGATAAGAGAGGCGAGTTATATCGCATACGCTCCATTCAACACATGCTTATCTAGCCATAATTCAGCTGTGAGTTCAACATCTTAAAATTGAAATATTATCCCAGCGTTCAATTCAAATGAGACCATGAGCCGGGAAAGTGTTCATATTTAAAGAACAGACATTATTATTGTATCTCGTGCTCTTGATTTAGCGTTTCATTAAAGCAATAAATTACAGTGATTTACCACAGGTACAAGGTGTTCATAAACTGCACAAAAAGTATTTTTAACTATGTGTTCTAGCTTAAAAATGCTTAAAACAATATGCATTTATTTGAAAATGCATTTCCAAATTAATTGTATATTCTGCAAAATTAATTGCTTATATTTTTTCTTATGCTATTGGAAACTTGTGTCTTTCTTATTTCAAGCATAAACATTGCACAATTATTACTTTTTTTTAATCTTATTTTCTAGTTAAAAAGGACTAAATATGCTTAAAATAAGACGCATTTATTTGAAATTTACTGCAAAATGAATTGTATATATTTTTCTTATGCCACTGGCCTTTTTTAAAATCTTGTTTTCCTGTTCCAAAAAACAAAACAATACAAAACAAAACAAACAAACAAACAAACAAACAATAAAACAAATAAAAAAAATAAATAAATAAAAATGAGCAAACAGCAAGATGCATTTATTTTAAATTCATTGCAATTTTTTTTCTTGCTTTAAGCAAAAACCTTGCAAAATAATTTTTCAATCTGGTTTTCCAAAAAAAAAAAAAAAAGATACTTAAGAGGCATTTATTTGAAATGTATTGCAAAATTAATTTGTATATATTTTTTATTATGCCATTGTCAGCTTGTTTCTTTCTTGTTTCATAGACCTTGCAAAATATTTTTAGCTTAATTTCCATTTAAAAAGACGAATGATGCTTAAACAAGATGTATTTAGTTAAAATGTATTGCAAAATCGCTTTTTTTTAATATATTTTTTATAATGCCACTTTCTGGTTTTAGGGATAAACCTTGCAAAATTGTGTTTGTTCTGTGCTCAAAACAAGAAACATCAGACCAGTCATAAAGTGTTCACAATACAACATGACATTAAAGCTGAAGTATTTCATCTCCTCTAAGATGCAGATGATGAAGAGCTCATCCTCGTCCTCCTGTCTTGACTTCATCATTTCTGACCCTGTATGAATGTAATCAGCTCTAGTTCACTCATCATTATTCTGACAGCACTCGGTCTGCTCAAATCACCACTAAACACCATTAATAAATAACATCAGATCTGCTTCTCCAGGATCACGAGTACATTACACTGATCTCATGATGTCATCATCCATTATTATGTGAGAAGGCACAGGTTTGAAGATGATCCTCCATTGATGTGTTTCATATTTTCATGATTTGTGACGTGCCCGTATTGAGTCCAACTTGAGTTCAACCATCAATTAACCCCTTGAGAAGCCAAAAGCTGTGTTTTTGTAAGAAACAAATCCAGCATTAAGACGTTTTTAACTAAAATACGAGTCCACAATCCATAATAACGCTTCCTCCAGTGAAAAAGTGCATCTGCTGTTGTCTCTCACATCAAAATCCAGTCACATATATATTTAGAGCTGTTTAAACGCTGCTTGATATGTGCAGATTTCTCTCCTGATTCACACCAGAACACTTTTTTCACTGGAGGAAGAGTTATTATGGATTATGGACTCTATGGTATTTTAGTTAAAAACATCTTAATGCTCTACAAACCTGATGAAGAAACAAACTCATCCTGATCTCGGACGGCCTAAAAATGTAGTCCTATAAACTACATATTGACCTGTAAAGGATCCCTTCATTCAACATCCCTTCATTCAACAACTCTTGTGTTTTTCAGATTCATTGCTGAATGACTTGAACATCATTGGTTTCTGTTTCTAGAAACATGCAGGTAGTTGTGGTTTCTCGACTCGTCGCACACAAGCGATCGGTCGCATCTAAACGTACCTGCGCTTCTGAAGCGTTGCACAGGTCACCCATGAGCATCTATAACCAAAGCCGAGGCTGTAATTGTGTCTGCGGGGTCAGGCAGGGGTTGACCGCTCATTTCTCACTCACGTCTCCTGAACGGGACAGGAGTCTTCCAGCTCAATCCCAGGGTTCATTGCTCCCGTCCGTCTCTGCCGTTTGCCCTCTGGAGCTGCTCTGAAAGCAGAGGAGAAACACGGAACGAATGTCAGTAGAGGCACAGGAATGATGAGGGTCGGATCTTACAGTTGCTCTCAAACGAGCCAGAAATGAAGTCAGGAATTAAGTCAAGTCAAGTCAAGTCAAGTCTGCTTTATTGCCAATTCTTCCACATGTACAGCACATGCACACAGAGAATTGAAATTACATTACTCTCAGACCCTTGGTGCATACAGATAACACTAACAGTAGAACATAAATACAGATAGATACAGATTTAAATATAAAATACAACTATACAAATAAGGTAAAATGTAAAAAAAAATTTTTTAAAGTCTATTCCCTTCGTCTTCTCCACATTCAGAGAGAGAGATTGTTGTCACTGCACCTGCAAAATGGAGAAGAAAACACCATAATGCATCCTCTCATCTGTCAGCTGCTAGAAGCTCACAGTTAAAAATCACAACCACAACTGCACCAGATAAAAGACAGGCACGCATACAGAAATGCGTGAATGAATGATGATTGATTTAATGAATGAATATGATATTATGTATTGCATTGTTACTTTAAATATGCACTATATACACAACTCAAGTAGAAGTGAAAGAGACGATCACTACCGAGCAGAACAGAAGTTAATTTCTCATTAGTTGAAACTGAAATGAAGTGTTATGTTAGAGCAGTAATGCAATCATCAGCAGAATTGAGAAGATACACACATCTGAGGTGCTTTTTTTAAACATTACAAATGTTAGTGTGTTTGCTTTTTGACTTTGAGCGCCGGCCCTGAGTATGTGCCTGGTTTCTGGGTTCTGCATTGAATCTGATAATCAGATTTGTGTGATAAGACTTTCATTTCTCTCAGTCTCTTATGAAGACGGATTCTTCTGCCAACAGCTATCAGACGGCAGCGATGGGTTTTACTCTCTCTATAGCCAGAGTAAATGTGATTCCTGAAGAATCAATGAGCCCGTTAACACCCTAAAAGATTCATTTATTCCTGCAAATGAGGCTCAGATCACGGGCTTTATGTGTTACTGGATAAAACAACCGTACAGGAGTCAATCCAGAGCAGAACCTCCTGCAAACACAACCAGCTGAAGACATTTCTACAGCAGAGCTTTCTATCTACAGACACAATGTCATAAAGACTTCTGGAAGACGACGATGTGTTTAAATCAGCACATTTCTAGATAGATTGTGAAATGTACTTTGGGAGAAGAAAAAGTCAAAATATTGGAATTAAAAAATTATAATAATAATGTATTAAAACCATTCAGGATGATTTTTTTTTAGACAGAATTATTGCTTATTTTCAGTTCTTCCTTATTTTTTTTTTAGCTGATTTTACTTTTGTGTATTTTTAAAATATACATGCATTTTGGTGTATTTGAATTTATAATGTATTATTATATGCAAATATGTTTTCAAAACATGTATTTAATATAAACAAAAATATTAAAAAACAATATTACAAATTTAATATAAAAACTTTTTTTATTTGTAAAAATATTTAGAATATTTACTTTTTTGTATCTTTAAAATCTACACCCATTTTGCATGTCTGAATTTATGATATATTAAATGCGAAAATATTTTTTCAAAACAAATATTTAACATAAATATAAAACACATAAAAAACAATATTAAAAATGTTAAAAACAAACATACATAATGTTTTATATTAAATGTAAAATAAATTTAAATTTATATTAAATTATATTAAAACATACATTTTGAGCATTTGAATTTATGACAAATAATACAGAATAAATATATAACATACATGTGTACACAAACACACACACACACTGACACTAACACTAACACACACTCTCTCTCTCTCTCTCTCTCTCTCTCTCTCTCACACA